CCGTGTCCCGCCCCCCCCACCCCCCCCCCCGGCTCGAGTTGTCCGCTCGGGTAAGCCAGGTCTAGAACAATAAACCCAGAGTTTAGACCTAGTATAACAAAGCCTCATGCCGGATCCCTAGTAGGAACGTTTGTTTGCATCACGTGCATTTGACTTAGGGGACTCAACACAGGGGTTGGGTTCGTCTAGGACAGGTGTACCCAAATTAAAAAGACCATCCTGATGCATCCTACTTGCTACTTGTGCATTTATTTGCTCCGTATTCGCATGTTGACCGGTTTGTGAATGATGGGGAGAGAATTGGAAAAGAGAATAGCAATGTTAGGGGTAAGTGAGGGTAATCACTTGTTTTGAAAAACCAATACTCAAATGGTACTGAAACTCTGTCGGATTTTTGAAAGAAAAAGAAAGGTTTCGTTTCCAAAAATAGTTGTTTTGTCAAATCTGCCCAAACTACGCCAGTTTGATTCTCACCGGATGTGGGATACGTAGGCAACCCCCATCGGGTCCAACTTTCCTTTTTTGCAAAAATAGCCCAAAAACAACAAAGTTTTAATTTTTGTCACAAATAAGTCGGGTGATGCCATTTTTGTTTAAAAATAAGCCGAATGTCCCCGAAAGGGCGCCGGAAGGCTGTTTTTGCAAGAACAGCCACCTTGTGTCATTTTCAACGGTTAGCGGGCACAGCCTTAAAATCTTCTTCCCCGAAGTGCTAAAAGGCCGTATCTGCAAAGCCGGGGTTTTGTTTTGAAATAAAATTTCGAAAAAAATGGTGTTACTTTTTCTTTAGGCCAAAATAAGTTATTAAATTACCTTAATAAATGTGCAGGATGAGCACGAATGAAATTGAACCCTTCACAGTCCTTAAAGAGATCCCCTTAAAGCTCCACATGTGGTGGAATGATCTAGGGAAAGGCAGTAGAGAAACAGTGGTAAAGGTTCTGGGAGGCCTCGTCGGACTATTGAACGTCAAGCCAAGGTTGGACATAATTGAAGCTTTAATACCTTTTTGGGACCCGACTCGCAATGTGTTCCATTTCTCTGACTTTGAGCTCACACCTACATTGGAGGAAGTTGCGGGTTATGGGGGCCTTAATGGAAATCTTAGAAGTCGATATCCATTGTCACCAAGACCGGTATCTCCCCACAGATTTCTGGATTTGCCGAGTATTAGTCGGGATATTCAGGACGAAAATTTATCTGAAGGGTATTGCACACTCCAGTTTTTGTATCATCGATATGGGAACCCCCGAGGTTTTGAAGAGCGGAACACTGGTCTAGCCCATGCCGGAAATAAAGACAAATGGGAGGCAAGGCGGGGTTTAGCTTTTATGGTAGCCTTCTTGGGTGTTGTAATTCGTCCATGAAAAGATGGTAATATAGAGATAGGTCTCGTAGGAATGATCGATGTTGCAATTAAGAAAGCCAACAGCACTGTGGTTCCTCTGATCGTATCTGAAATCTACCGAGCCTTGACTATTTGTCGGGAAGGGGGAAAGTTCTTCCAAGGCTGCAATCTGTTACTACAATTATGGATGCAAGAACATCTCTGCCACCAGGTTGGGTATCTGAACTACGGTTTGACAGGGTTGAGCTGCATTGATGAATTTGAAAGCCGAGTGGCAGGTATTGAATTCCCTGAAGGTACTGAAGCTTGGCTTGCACATTTGAGATCCTTGACTGCCGACAAAATTAAGTAGGCATTCGGATGGCTTCCTGTCACCGAAGCGGTGTACACGTCAGCTGAAGTGTGTTATATCCTCTTGATGGGCATCCGGAGCATCCAGCCTTATGCTCCCTACAGGGTTTTGCGCCAATTAGGAAGATTTCAAACCGTCCCCAATGATGAAGATCTGAGTAAACAAGTCATTGAACTGGGCCCAAAACCCGCACTTCCAGAAGGGAAAATTCGCCAAGTGTGGAATGAATGTAGATTTCTTGAACCTAAGACCATGGTGCGAGATCTAGCCAGAGGTGAAGTGGACCCTAAGTACATTGTCTGGTTCGGAAAAAGATTCCAGATTCCCGAAAGGCCCGCAAAGAGACCCCATGTCCAACAGTTCACCGATGGGGTGCAAGTGCAATGGGACTGGTTGACCAAAGGAAACGAGTACAGGACCAAAATAAGCCAGTTGGAAAGGCAAGTCATGGAGCTCCAGTTTGAAAAGGGTGTTCAAGCCACCGCAGACGAGGGAGAAAAGAAAAAACTAACCCAGGAAAATGAGGCCCTCAAAGCTCAGATCCGAAAGATGAAAATAACTGTCAGAAACTCGAAAAGAAGCCGGGCTGATGAAAGACTTATAAGCGGTCTAAAAAAGAAAGTCCTCGAGTGTCAAGAAGACTTGGAAAAGTCTGATGACAGTCTAGCGAAAATCCGGGCACAATGGACAAAGAAGGCAGAAGAACGGGCACGATTTGTGCAATAAATGAAGAGGAACTATAAAGGGACCATCACTAGCCTAAGAAGAAAGGTAACTACTCTTGAGGATGAGGCAGCAAAGCAGGCAAGAAATACAGAAATTGTAAAATCAGCACCTTCATGACTCTCAAGTGTTAGAAGCCCGGAACCAGCAGATAGGGCGGTTGCTTCAGGAAAAAGGCAGAATTAGAGAAAGGATCAGAGCCATCGCTGACTACATTACCATGAAGTGCCAAGCGTGCGAGGACATGACTCGTACCACCTTTTTTGCTGCAGTGATGACTTTCGTCCGCCAAGTTATGAGTGATTTGGAGCGACTACAAGGGGGTCTCGCACATAGGCCCGCGGCGAGGCCGAATGATGCCCCGCGGGCCCCAGTAGTTGAAGCTTTAATGTATTCCTAATTTTTCAAGCATCGAGTCTGTATTTTGGTTTATTCTGAGTCTGTTTGTAGTTTTTCTTTCCAAGAAAATGAGTAGTTTAACATCTTTTGTAATAGAAGTTTTATTAATGAAAAATTGAAAATTCCCAAAAATTGTTTCCTTACTTTTTGCATTTATTTTTCTTGAGCTACGTAATGATCTGATTCACGCGGCTCGTGATACGTAGGCAATCCTCATCAGATCTGGTCATAATTTTGTAAATAGTTCCAATAAGAAAAGAAAATGAAAAAGAAAAAATGAGATAGAAAAGGAAGAGTGAAAGTGGAAAGAAGAAAAATGAAGAAAAATAAGTAAAGCCGGGATGAAGCATGTAACTGTTGCAAAACATGTAGAAATACATTTAACTGTATAGGTGCATCATACCCCAACGTGCGATTACCTATCTGTTATTTGTTTCAAACTAACCGTTTGCTGTTGTTACTATCCAGTTCAGGTTTTTTATAAGAATGGTGGTTGGTTTTTGTGGTAACCTGGCTTCGCACCCATACTTTACTAGATCAAAGGGGAGCATCAGAATGTCTTTAGAAATGACTCTGCCAACAATTCCCATCACGGACAATAGCCCAATCTTGGGCATCCTGACCTCAGAATCGGCAGTTGCCGAAGAGAACAGGATCCTACATCTTCGGGTTATGGAAATGTGGGACGCTTGGGCAAATGGAAGAGAGCCGCCAAGCGCAATCTCGGGATTCCCTGAACTTTTTCCTAGAGCAAGTGGTACCTTCACTGTTCCGATCAGTCACCCAAATACACCACTAGGACACCCGACTAGCTTAGCTCATTTTGTGGGAACACCTTCTGAGGTTCGCCCCAGGTGTTAATGTCTGGTGCAGCTTCAAATATCTTCACTGCTCCCCCATGCTCGGCCACAGCACAGCCTACACTGCCTAGGCCTAATTTTGACCCCTCAGTTTTCACCTTCCAAACACCCACCTTCCAAATGGAACCTCCTCGGTTTCCCACTTATACTTATTCTCAGCCGCCCCAATTTGAGTTCACTGCAGGGCAAGAAAAGACTACCAAAACTCCTGAGCAAGAAGAAATTGCGAGAAAGATGAGGAGTATGGAACAAAGCCTCAAGAACATACAAGGCTTGAGTGGGCAGAAAAGTGTGTCTTATGCTGATTTATGCATGTTCCCTCATGTGCATCTACCCATGGGATTCAAAACCCTAAAATTTGAGAAGTATGATGGACACGGTGATCCTATTGCTCATCTCAAGAGATATTGCAACCAGCTGCGAGGAGCCGGTGGAAAGGAAGAACTCCTTATGGCCTATTTCGGAGAAAGTCTGGTTGGCATCGCATCTGAATGGTACATGGACCAAGACATATCCCGCTGGCAAATCTGGGACGATCTTGCTAGAGATTTCGTTAGGCAGTTCCAGTACAACATTGATATTGCTCCAGATAGGAACTCATTGACAAACTTGAAGAAGAAATCCTCGGAAAGCTTCCGAGAGTACGCAGTTAAATGGCNGTTTGCTTGTCTGCTTCCCCTTTATTTGCATTACGTGTTTTTGATTGACGCCTTAGCATTTTGTCCTTTGAAAACTTCTAAAAGCCCCCAAACCCCTCTCCCTTTAGGATTAGTAGTCCATTTGCCTCCGGGACTGATAGGATTGGGACGGGTAATAGCATGCAATAAGTAACGATACTATTCCGCGCTTTAATACCTTAACGGGGTAGGGAAGGGTAGACATGGAGATGATGATCACACGATAACACTATGCATACAATTGGGTACCGGTGTTGTGTGGATGATCCATGTGATTTATAAACCTAGGACCCCCCTTCCTCTTTGTTATTTTTGTTCCAGAATTTTAAAAGCTGTTCAGTTTTCAGTTTCTCTTCTTTTACTTCAATTCTTTGGACCTATCATGAAAAATCTCTCTTTTAGCTGTCTGAATTTTAGTATTGTTTCTCCCTAAACTTCCGTCTCTTTCACTTCTTTTAAGTTACTTGCATCAATTATTTGACCCATTCCCCTTTACTCGTATATCTTTTCTTTAATTATAAAACTACTTTCTTCCAAATTCTAGTATTTTTTAAACCTTTTGTACTTTTTATTTGCAACCATTATGTGAAAGTTTTCCTCGTATTTGCAATGCTTGCTTGTCTACTTTTTGTTTGTATTTAAAGTCACAGTTGCAGCATGGCCGGGAACCACACTAGTGGATCTTGAGGGGTGCCTAACACCTTACCCGAACTCTGGTTTTTCATCTCAAATTCTTTCTTAAAGTGTCCTAATGCACTATAATCATTAGGTGGCAACTCTCCAAATCCAAAACCCAATCCCAAACGGGAATATAGTTGTCTTTCCTATATGTCGTAAACCCGATTTCTCACTCTTTGGAGGGAGGGAAAAAGGGGGCGTCGACACACAGTTTCCCACTTATACTTATCCTCAGCCACCTCAATTTGAGTTCACTACGGGACAGGAAAAGACTCCCAAAACTCCCGAACAGGAAGAAATATCAAGGAGAATGAGAAGCATGGAGCAGAGCCTCAAGAACATACAAGGTCTGAGTAGGCAGAAAAGTGTGTCCTATGCTGATTTATGCATGTTCCCTCATGTGCACTTACCGTTGGGATTCAAAACTCCCAAGTTTGAAAAGTACGATGGGCATGGTGATCCTATTGCTCATCTCAAGAAATACTGCAATCAGTTGCGAGGAGCCGGAGGAAGGGAAGAGCTACTCATGGCCTATTTTGGAGAAAGTCTTGTTGGTATCGCCTCCTAGTGGTACATGGATCAAGATATATCTCGGTGGCACATCTAGGACGACCTTGCCAGAGACTTTGTCAGACAATTCCAGTACAATATAGACATTGCTCCAGACAGAAACTCATTGACAAACCTGAAAAAGAAGTCCTCGGAGAGCTTCCGGGCAGTTAAGTGGCGTGAGCAGGTATCGAGAGTAAAGCCTCCGATGGACGAGGTCGAAATGGTCACAGTGTTCCTCCAAGCTCAGGAAGCCGACTACTTCCAAAACATGATGTCAGCTATGGGTAAACCGTTCGCGGAAGCTATCAAAATCGGTGAAATGGTTGAAAACGGATTGAAAACAGGTCGAATTCTAAGACAATCCGCTATCAGAGCTACCTCCCAAGCCATTCAGGGCGGGTCTGGAGGAGTAGCGAAGGGCAAGAAAAAGGAAGAAACATCCATGGCAGCGTCAGGTGCAAGAAAGCACCGTGCTCCCAGACCCCTTTTCCCAGAAAGAACCCCGCAGCACTATTACCCCCACCAGGACATGGCCTATGCTCCTCAGCTATACGCGGTCATGAATGCTCAACCTTATGTCCGGCCTCAGCAACAAGCCAACTGGAACCAAGCTCCATTTCCTAGAAACTAGCCTTCTCACCAAAACCACTACAATCCCCGTCCACAAAATAACTTCCCTCCTCGTGAACCACCCAGGAGGCCAAATTTTACACCAATCAGTGAATCCTACTCCAGTGTGTTTCCAAAGCTTGTCCAGATGGGTTTGCTGCATCCCGTACCCCCAAATAGGCAAAACCCAGAATCACCCTCCTACCAGCGGGGCACCCGATGCGCTTATCACTTAGGAGCTGAGGGGCATGATACAGAAAACTGTTGGACTTTGAAAAGAGCCGTGGAGGATTTGATAGAACAGAGGAAGATAGTGCTAAGGGACGAGGATATCCCCAATGTGACCAACAACCCACTGCCGGCCCACAACAACGGGTCGGTAATCGGAATGATTTGTGAGGATAAGGAATTTGACCCGGCGTTGAAGGCCATCATTGCCATTGCTGATGTAGAGAGGAAACCGAAAACTTCCCCGAAGCAAGACAAAGGGGAGAAAAAGAACAAAGCCACCCATTCAAAATCAGAAAAGAAAACTGAAGCAGGAACTGGGGCAACGCCCGCCAAAGATGTTGTTCTCTATGTCCCTCGAGGCCGCAAGGAAAAGCAGATGACTTTGAGTCCTCCCAGGAGATTTGAACTGAACAAGGCAACCCAGATGTATGTTCCCAAGGGAGCTTATGTGATGCGGGGGCCAATTAATCCACCAAGGTTGAGTGAGCCCGTGGTTATTGGCCGCGCGCCACAGAAGCCCATGACAGATCCTACCGCGGTGCCTTGGAACTACTATAAATCAGTGGTGACGTATAAGGGCAAAGAAATCTCAGGAGAGGTTCGAGAAAATTACCCTGTTGAAAAGTACTCCAATTTGGAAGAAGTGAACAACGCCACTAGAAAGCACTTCCCATCTAAAAGACCCGTGAGTGACGAAGAGGCGGAAGCTTTCTTTCGAAAAATGAAAATGGCGGATTATGAAGTGATTGACCAGCTTCGGAAATTTCCTGAACAAGTCTCCTTGCTATCTTTGTTGATGAAATCCCCCGAACACCAGAAGGTATTAATCAAGACCCTCAATGAAGCATATGTGCCTGCTGAGACTTCTGTAAAGCAATTAGAGAGAATGGCAGAAAGATTTTTCGCAATCAACCAGATCTCATTCAGCAAAAATGACTTGCCCCCAGAAGGGGCCGCACATAACAAAGCCCTGCACCTAACAGTCAAATGTGAAGGGTACTACGTGAAAAGAGTTATGGTGGACGGAGGCTCTGGGTGGACATCAGCCCACTCTCAACTCTACAGCGCATGGAAATTGGGACCGAAAGGATTCGTCCCACCAATGTCTGCGTACGAGCCTTCGATGGTATCAAAAGGGACACGATTGGAGAGATCGATCTAATTCTGACCATTGGCCCAGTAGACTTTGAAGTGACCTTCCAGGTTCTAGACATGGACACATCCTATAACTTTCTTTTGGGGAGGCTATGGATCCATGCAGCTGGGGTTGTACCCTCCACTCTTCATCAAATGGTAAAATTCGAGCATGAGGATCAAGAGATTGTGGTCCACGGGGAGGATGAGCAATCAATTTATCGGGACCCATCAGTCCCATGTCTTGAAGCGAGAGAAGGGAGTGAGCATATAGTTTATCAGGCCTTTGAAGTTGTGGTGGCAGACCAGTACGAAGAGGGAAACCCTTGCCCCCAAACCTTCCTTTCCAATGCATCCATCATGGTGGCCAAAGAAATGATCCGACATGGCTTCAAACCGGGGAAGGGACTTGGGAAATCCTTGCAAGGAATAGCTGAACCAGTTACTCTGCCTGTCACTGAGAAGTTCTTCGGGGTAGGCTTCCGACCTGCTCCAGATGATATGCCTCAACCGCTGCCATTTGTAAGAGACATTTGTCAAGCCAAAATACGATGAAGAAGAGGAGGATGAGGCCTTTACGGCCGAAGAGATTGAAGAGATCTGTGGGGCAATGAGGAAGATACTATATGAAACCCACATTGTCCAGCCAGGAGAGGGTTCAAGCACCGCTGAGGTGCTGTATATAGGACCAAACGCCAAGCTGCAAAATTGGAAGGCTACGCCATTCCCAATCAGGCGGAAGTCCCGGTAGACTTGTCCTGCCACCTTTTCTTCATCACGAGTTATTACAGGGTGTAACTCGGATGTTTTCTTTAGTTTCATGTCTTTTAATTTCCAATGTAAACCCTGTTATCTTCCAAATTCAATGAAATGAAATCAATATTTCATCGTCCATCTTTCTTTATTCTTTCTGATTTTGTTATTTTTATTTCTTCTTTCAGTTCTAATAATGCGGCTTTAAATAACATGACATGCTTGCGGACTTCATGCCCAGATCCAAACACGTTGTCTAACCGTGAAATAATGAACCAAGAACCGGAATACGACGAAGAAGAGGCTTTTAGGGAAATAAATCGAGACTTGGAACAATTTGAGAATAAACCTAAGCCAAACTTAGACGACACTGAGCCGGTTAATTTGGGTAGTGCTGAAGAAATCAGGGAAACCAAGATAAGCATTCACACAGATGAACAAACCCGGGATGCATTAATCCAACTCTTGTTTGAGTTCAAAGATGTGTTTGATTGGTCATATGATGACATGCCAGGACTGTGTGTCGACTTGGTGGTTCATAAGTTGCCAACTTACCCCGATTACCCCCCTATCCAGCAAAAGCAAAGGAAGTTTAAAACTGATGTCAGTGACAAGATCAAAGACGAAATCACGAAATAGTTGAAAGCAGGGGTGATCCGAGTGGTCCGGTACACCACATGGCTAGCCAATGTAGTCCAGTGCCAAAAAAGGACGGGAAGACCCGAGTGTGTGTGGATTACAGGGATCTGAACAGAGCCAGTCCCAAAGATAACTTCCCTCTGCCAAACATCCACATCCTTGTAGATAACTGCACCAAACATGAGATGCAGTCCTACGTGGATTGTTACGCAGGATATCACCAGGTGTTGATGGATGAGGAAGACGCGGAGAAGACGGCTTTTACCACACCTTGGGGTACATACTGTTACAGAGTCATGCCATTTGGTTTGAAGAATGCTGGGGCAACCTACATAAGGGCCATGACCGCCATTTTCCATGATATGATGCACCAAGAAATAGAGGTGTATATGGACGACATAATTATCAAGTCCAAAACCCAGGATGACCACATTCAAGACCTGGGGAAATTCTTTGAGCGGTTGCGTAAATATGATTTGAAGCTAAACCCAGCCAAATGTGCATTTGGAGTCCCATCGGGCAAACTTTTGGGCTTTATAGTCAGCCGGAGAGGTATTGAGTTAGATCCAACAAAGATAAAATCTATCCGGGATTTGCCTCCTCCGAGAACCAAGAAAGATATGATGAGCTTGTTGGGCGGATTAAACTATATCATCCGTTTCATTGCTCAGCTGACATCCACGTGTGAACCCATATTCAAATTACTGAAGAAAGACGCGGCAATCAAGTGGACGGATGAATGTCAAGAAGCTTTTGATAAGATCAAAGAGTATCTGTCCAATCCACCGGTCTTGGTCCCACTTGAACCAGAGAGGCCTTTGTTCTTGTACCTAACAGTCTTGGAAAACACTTTTGGCTGCGTCCTCGGGCAACATGATGTAACCGGAAAGAAAGAGCAGCAATCTACTATCTGAGCAAGAAGTTTACCAGCTATGAAGCTAAGTATACTTTGTTGGAAAGAACCTGTTGTGCAATAACTTGGGTCGATCAGAAGCTGAGACATTATCTGCAAGCCTACAGCACTTACCTCATAACCAGGTTGGATCCTTTGAAATACATATTCCAGAAACCAATACCCACGGGGAGATTAGCGAAATGGCAGATTCTGCTCACTGAATTTGACATAGTCTATGTCACTCGCACGGCAATGAAAGCCCAGGCATTAGCAGATCACTTGGCTGAAAACCCAGTTGAAATATGAAGCTTGTATTTTGTGTATGAACATGGCAATCGATCAAGATGTCGAAGAGCTAGTAATCATGAGAGATTCAGATTTGATTATCCGGCAAGCTCAAGGAGAATGGGAAACCCGAGATGTCAAGCTTATTCCTTATAAGTAACATGTGGAAGAACTGGGCAAGCGATTTATGTCGATAGAGTTCAAGTACGTCCCTCGTTGTCACAACAAATTGGCCGATGCACTTGCTACTTTGGCCTCAATGCTGCCGTATCCAGGCAATGCTCACATAGATCCCTTGGAAATCCAAATCCGGGAAAGGCATGGTTATTGTAATATGATTGAAGCAGCACCAAATACCCAACCATGGTACCATGACATCAAAAGGTTTCTAAAAATGCAAGAATACCCCGAGCAAGCCAGTGGGGATCAAAAGAGAACCATCAGACGGCACGCGAGTGGTTTCTTTTTGAGTGGGGATGTCTTGTACAAAAGAACTCCAGCCCTCAATTTGTAAAGATGTGTTGACGCAGAAGAGGCTGGAAGAATCATGCATGAGGTACACGTGGGAGTATGCAGACCTCACATGAACGGGTATGTTTTATCAAAGAAAATCCTTCGAGCGGGCTATTACTGGATAACCATGGAAAGGGGCTGTTTCAGCTTTGTCCGGAAGTGCCATCAGTGTCAGGTCCACAGTGATTTGATTCATGCACCTCCCACAGAATTGCATCCTATGTCATCACCTTGGCCATTTGTTGCTTGGGGCATGGACGTCATTGGGCCAATCGAACCGAGAGCCTCAAATGGACACAGATTCGTACTGGTTGCCATTGACTACTTCACAAAATGGGTTAAAGCCATCACTCTCAAATCTTTCACCAAGAAAGCTGTGGTAGATTTTGTGCACTCCAATCTTATCTGCCGTTTTGGTATTCCTGCAACTATCATCACAGATAATGCTGCAAACTTGAATAGTCGCTTGATGGAAGAGATATGCGAACAATTCAAATTAACGCATAGGAACTCTACTCCTTATCGGCCTAAAGCCAACGGTACCGTCAAAGCAGCAAACAAGAACATCAAGAAGATTTTGAGAAAGATGATTCAAAGCTCCAGGCAGTGGCATGAAAAGTTGCCTTTTGCATTATTGGGATATCGCACTACGGTGCGCACATCGGTAGGAGCAACCCCATACCTTTTGGTTTATGGCACTGAGGCCGTGATACCCGCGGAGGTTGAAATCCCTTCCCTCCGGATCATTGTTGAAGATGAAATCGAAGATAGTGAGTGGGTTAAGACTCGTCTGGAACAGCTGCCCTTAATTGATGAAAAGCAGATGGCTGCGGTCTGCCACGGGCAGTTGTACCAATAAAGAATGGCCCGTGCTTATAACAAGAAAGTGCGGCCGAGGAATTTCGAAGTAGGACAACTTGTGTTAAGGCGCATTCTTCCTCATCACCAGGAAGCAAAAGGAAAATTTGCTCCTAATTGGAAGGGCCCATACATCATCAGAAAGATATTGCCGAAAGGAGCATTGTATCTGGGCGATATCGAAGAAAATGATCCCGAAGCAGCTGTGAATGCGGATGCAGTAAAAAGGTACTATGTTTAGGCTTTCTGCAGCAATGACTTTGTTCAATTGGGATGACGAAGGCTTTAATTCTTGCTATCCAAACACCATCAATCTTTCGCAAACCCTTTGAGTCGGTTACTCTTCCTTGATCACCCTCTTTGGAACCCGAAAGTACTATTGAAAAAAAATAAGAGAAAAGAAAAAAAAAGAAAAAAAAAAGAGAAAAAAAAACAACAACAAAAACAAAGTTCCCTGAACTACGTTCGACTTGATTCCGAAAGGATACGTAGGCAGCCTCTCTCTGGGGTTCAGTCACACCAAAACAAAAATTCGATTTTCCCCAAAAGTGAAACTGGGGCAGATGATATAATGGCTCGGCAATGAGCCCACCCGAACCGTTCCAAAGTTGTAATTCCATCCAGATTCTTTTTATCCAAACCTTGTCCAAGTCCTTTTGATCAATTGGCAAAGGCATCGGAACTAGACAACACCATTGTTGGAATCTGATACAATCAAACTGAGAGAAATAAAATGAGAGAGCCTGGTTAGTGAAAACTCGTAAAGAGCACTATCAGGCGACGGTGAGAAGAGAAATGAGAGAGGTTGATTGGCAAAAACTCGCAAAGGGCGCCGTCGGTCGAAAAGAAGAGATCTCCCGCCACTGAAAGAGTCCTGGCAAGATTCCCTGGTTTTGAAACACGGGTCACAATGAGTTTATGAGAAGTTAGGAAAGTTTGTGCGGGTCGGGCATCCAGTCCAAGAAGCATGTCATGTCTATTTGAAGCTTGCATGCACCCCTGATAAGTCCTTCCTTCCTTCCCGAAAGGGACACTTCTCTTTAAATTCATTTTTCTTGCCTTTTGTTTACTTTTTCCTGGAATCTCTTTCGGTCTAACTCTGTTTCCGAAACTAATACAAAGAAAAGGGGGCAAGACTGGTTTTACGGGGCTCTGCCTAACAAAAGCTAAAGAAAAGTACCCAGCCTCAGCGGGTGCATCAAGTCGATCCCGACTGGCCATGATGGCTGATGCTCTAAAATCAAAGTTATTGGAAATGAAAAGGAAGCCAAAGGCAAAAGCCCCCAGAGGCAAAATAAAGTGGAAGGGCCAAAGCCACACACGGGCGAGCCGTCATGATAAATTTTGAAAAGTTGAGTCCCACGG